GAACCTGTCTCAGAGTTTTCTGGGGCTGAGAGAGTGTGACTCACCCCAAGTCACCCAATGGGTTCCCATGGCTGAGTGATGAATCGAACCCTGGTCTCCAGAGTCTTATGGGTGCATCTGCACTGTAGAAATAATGCCGTTTGATACCACCTTAAATGCTGTAGCTTTTTCCTATGTAGTTTTACAAGGCCTTCTCTGCCACAGAGTGCTGCTGCCCCACAAAACTACAAATCCCTGGGATTCCATAGGATAAAGCTACAACATTTAAGTTGGTATCAAACTGCATTCTTTCTACAGTGCAGATGCACCCATAGTTCAGTGCTCAAGCCACTACACCACCCTGGCTCTCAAGGTGAACCTATCGTGGGGGTTTCTGGAGCTGAGAGTGTGTGACTCACCCAAGGTCACCCAATAGGTTTCCATGGCTGAACCGGGAATCGAACCCTGGCCTCCAGAGTGGTAGTCCAGCGCTGAAACGACTACGCTATGTTGGACTATACAATCCTCTTTTCCCTGTTGCTGAGCTCCTGAGACCTGGAATAAAAGATCAGATTAAAACCTGATGGGGGAAAAAGAAAATGGAGCGAAGGATGAGAAAAAAGTCTAGCAGCAACTTTCAGTCTACCAAATTTGTTGCGGTCTATGAGGCTTGGTGGATTGCTTCCACAGATGCATTGAGGGAGTACCATATTCAGGTTTCAAGGTGTGTGAGTGTGTGTCTGTGTGTAGGTACTTGCAAAGCCACCTCTGAGTATTCCTAGCCAAAGAAAATTCCTAGGCAAAGTTGCTGCTAGACTTTTTTCCCATCCTTCGCTCCATTTTCTTTTTCCCCCATCAGGTTTTAATCTGATGAAATTCATAGGGTCACCATAAATTGAGAAATGACTTGAAGATGCTGTTGTTGTTGTTGTTGTGCACCTTCCACCGGGTCAAGTCACGCACTCTCAGCCTCAGAGCATAACAATGGCAAATTCCCTCTGAAGAAACTTGCCAAGAAATTCCCCTGATAAGTTCACCTTAAGTCGGAAACGACTTGAAGGCACACAACAACAACAATATATGGATGCTGTTTTAATTTTGTGTTTTAAAAATGATAAAAATACATAAAAATGACATTGGAAGATTATTTTTAATTTTTGGTAAAGGGTCTCCTTTGAAAGCTTTAATGACTTTCATGCGCACACACACTGCAAGAGCTGATGCAGAAAAGGAAAGGAGAATTATCCATTCTTTTATTATTTATTACTTATTTTATTCAGTACAGGTTGAGTATTTCTTATCCAAAATGCTTGGGACCAAAAGTGTTTAGGATTTTGAATTTTTTTCCAGATTTTGTAATATCTGAATATACATAATGAGATATTTTGGAGATGGGATCCAAGTCTAATCACGGAATTTATTCACAAGTTTTTCATATACACCTTGTACACATAGCCTAAAGGTAATTCTACACAATATTTTAATCATTTTGTGCACGAAACAAAGGTTGTGTACATTCAATCATCAGAAAGCAAAGGTGTCACTATTTCAGCCACTCATAGAAAAAGTTTTGGATTTTGGATTTTTGGATAAGAGATACTCAGTCTCTATGTGTTTGTGTGTATATGCATGTAGGTGCCATCAAGTCGCCTGTTGACTTATGGCAGGCGACCCCATGCATTTTGTAGGGTTTTCTTAGACAAGGAATACTCAGAGGTGGTTTTGCCAGTTGAAATATAGCCCACAACACCTGATATTCATTGGTGGCCTCCCATCTAAGTATTAACCAGGGGGGACTTTACTTAGCTTCCAAGATACAGGATCTGGTGCCTTTAGGGAATCTACTTAATGTGTAGTTATATTTATATTCCATCCATCCTCTAGTGAATTTAATGGTGGTGTACATTGCTCTCACCACTTTTGTCCTCACAGTGATCCTACGAGATAAATCAAGCTAAGAAGAAGCAACTAGTTAGAGGTCACTTGTGAGTTTCATGACGGGGACTCGAACCTGGATCTCCCAGGCCCCATCCTGATACTCTAACTACCGCCCCACACTAGCTCATTTTACTGAGTACTCTCATTGCATTATTTTCTTGTGGCGATAGTGGTGGGTAAATACGTCTTTTTACTTCTCAAAAATGAGGGGTTATTCAGATGATAAAAATAATCCAGGTAAAAATTCTGTCTTGAATTTTTATTGTTCACATAAATTTCGAATACATCCAATTAAGTTTTGGGGGTGGCTGCCAAAGAAACCCACTTAACTCGGGATAATTTATCTCATTTCTCCCCGCTTAATTTTCCTAAATAGCCATTGTTGGCTATGTGAATAGCCATTGCGAATAGACCCGGGATAAACCGGGATAAAACTGTGCATGCCTTGAATGTGTTTTGAATACATTTGCATCATCAACTCCATGTTTATTTGAGTATTGGCACGTATGAGC